AACTCGATTCTTGTTCTTATTGGCAGAACTGCCACTCCTGCTCGAAGGCCATTCTCTTGGTTTCTTTGGAACTTGAGAAAGGTTCAGCCCAGACATTGCAGCTTGCGCATACGTTTGCCCAGATTGAATGACTTTTGCTACTTGAGGCGTTTCAGGCTCAAATACAATCTCTTCTTCTGGCGGTTCTTGTAGGTCCTCCAGATCAGTAATGAGGCTCCCAATATCATCGGTTCCTCTATTGACATTTTCTTGATGGTGATCCAAATTGGCCACAATAGGTTCTTCCTCTTCACCGCCTTCATCACCCAAATCGTCGTCTGATTCATAGTCATCATCTCCTTGGAATCTGACAATGAGTTCTGGCATATCATCGACATCATTGTCTGCATCTGCCAAGAGCTCTTCTCTTTCGGAGTCATTGATATCATCAAATTGTCCATGTAGATTGAAATCACGTTCATCTTCATCTTCAGGATCATAGTCCTGATCAAAGGCTTCTTCTATGTAACCTTGTTCCGTGTCATCCACTCCTGCGATTTGGTTGCCATCTTGAAATGTCTCCAAATCTCTCTTCTTATCAAAGCACTTCATGGAAGTAACACCTTTGGCAGCAGCCCAAGCTTCAACACGCTGGATTACTTGGTGGGTAACGGGTAGTATGATGACCTTGGGTTGGGAAATCATCTTCTTAGTATTGAGGTTGAGCACTTGGTGCCCATTACGTTGTCCCTTTGTAGGTTCAATGTAAATGGTTCCATCGAATTGCTGGAATCCGTCCCAATTGCATGATCATATTGGTCAAGCTCAGCAACCATGTCACTCTTGTAGTTGATATTGACATTTTTGATGGGTTGCTGTAGGCTGAAATGTGATGAGATACTGTCTTTCTGGGGAAAGACATTCAATAGCTCGGCGGCTTGACGTCCAAGACATTCAGTGATGACCTTTGGGACCACTTTGCAGGGTAATCGTGCAAGAGCTACCCTGACTCTTTCTTTCAGCATCCACAAGTGGAGCATCAATTGTTGTGGGAAGCCTTAACACACCTTTGTGACTTGCTGGTACTACAGGTAATCAAATGATGCAAGTCCCTTCGGGAATGCAGCTCATGCAGATTCCAACCCAAGGTGGCGGCACTGTGACTGTCCCTTACTCAATGAATGCTAATGGTGAAATTGCGTTCAGCAGAATGCAACTCGGCCATCAAGGATTCAGTGGTTCTCAAGTGCGCCAAGGATTCCATGCAACTCAAGCTCAAACTCCGCAGGTTGTGAAGACTGGCTATTTCAATACGACTACTCTTGAAGATCCAATCAAACTCTTGAAACATATTGAACAATGCATGAAGAAGAGTGCTGATGTTGAGTATGACTTCTTGGATTTCTGGGAAGCCAACCAAAAGTTCTTTGCCATGAAACAAGGAACAAACGAAAACTTGATGCATTTCAAGGAACAATCCTTGAGACAGGCTGAAGTCCTGCAAGATCAATATGGCGTTGCCTGGTTCCGAAATTTTGCAGTCAAGACCACAGCGTATGCTGCTATTGCTAGCACCGACACTGCTGCTCAAGACAAGTTCAAGGATGATATCTTTGAAGCCGTTCTTGCAACAGGATTTCTATGCAACTGCAATCAAATGAGAACAGCTCCTTTGATGCTGGATCTTCAGCCAAACTATTGCAGGGAAGTGGATTACCATCCAAAGACGGTAAGCAAAGCACAAGATATATTGAAGATTCACATGGATGTGATTAAGAATTCGGGAGTGAACCTATACCAAGGAAAAGACCAACCAAAGAAAGGCAAAGGGAAAGGGAAAGGATGGAAAGAAGAAGGCAGCATGTTATGTATGTGTCAATGAAGACCATATGTCTCCAAAATGCCCAGACAGACTGCTTCCAAAGATCCAATGGAAGGATCCTGATCAGTATGTTGATTATGGGACAAAGCTTAATCTAAATCAGATTGGAGCAACAGTCCCAGCTACAGTTCCTGGAGCTTCTCCAGTGACAAGTATTGTCACAAGTGGAGCATCAAGTGTTGCCAGAAGCGTTAACACACCTTTGCGACTTGCTGGTACTACAGGTGGTCAGCAGATGATGCAAGTTCCTCCTGGAATGCAGCTAATGCAGATCCCAACTCAAGGTGGCGGCACTGTAACTGTGCCTCTATGAATGCTAATGGTGAGATTGCGTTCAGTTGAATGCAACTCAGCCATCAAGGCTTCAGTGTTGTTCATGTGCGCCAAGGATTCAATGCAACTAAAGCTCAAAATTTTGATATGTCAAATGTCTTTCACTATCCTATCAAGGGAAAGGATGAGAATGGCAACGATGTCTATCTTATTCCATGTCCTGCTGGTACAACAAATGTCAAACTTGAAGCCAACTAGCACTATGCTAGTGAAAATGAAGATATGCCTGATCTTGCTACTGAAGCAGATTGAGGTCACAGAAGAGAAAGAGATCCATTTGGATTGTACAATCATGTCATCATGGACAGTGGTTGTACCAATATCACCATTTGTAATGATGAGCACATGCATGGACTCCGTCATGATGAGAAGGAACTTGATATGCACACTAACGTGGGCAGCAGAGTTCTTGACAAAGAAGGTTTTCTAGGAAAATTTCCACCTCCAGTCTAATATGATGCAGATGGAATTGCCAATGTACTTGCTATGCGCGAGATGATTGCTGCAGGATACCGCATTACTATGGATACTGATGCTGACAATGCTTTTATTGTGCATTGCAATGGAGACAGTGAGATGCGATTTGTGAATGGTAAGGGTGTGTATGTGTTGGAGCAACTTGGAGCAAATGTCAAACCAGGTGCCAAAGAGACAAGTGCGATGTACCGTCGCCAGTTAAGCAACTTAAATGATCAACCCCATTTGGAACTTTCTTAAAAAAAACAGAATGGATATTCTGGACTTGGGATGACCTCCAAGATTGCAACTGTTTGAAAGAAGAAGGAAGGATTCACTCCAAAACAAGTCAAGGCTGCGATGGAAGCAAGAAGTGCAATGCACATACTCAATGCTCCAAGCACCAAAAGTCTGAAGTATGCGATCCAATCTGGTGTCATCAAGAACTGTCCTATCATTCCTGTGCAGAACCTGAAGACTGACCCTGTATTCGAAGCATTGGATAAGATATTCCGCTGCTACAACAAGGCAGGCTTTCAAGGCAAGATCATCAAGTATGATTGGGCATTCATTCCTCTCACAGATGATAGGCTAGACAATGTGGGTGTTACTATTGACCCGACTGCAGCTGGAAACCAAGAGTCTACAGCTGAAGGAAACAATAGGATGCTGAAAGAAAGAGTCAAAGTAGCTCTTGCACGATTACCCTACACAGTGGTCCCAAAGGTCATAAATGTCAATATCAACTACAAGAGTGACATGGTTGCTGAATTTGGGACGGATTCCAGCAATTTGATGGAACCCGGAAGTATCAAAGCAATTTACATTGAACCTACAAAGGGACAACGTAATGGGCACCAAGTGCTCAACCTCAATACTAAGAAGATGATTTCCCGACCCAAGGTCGTCATACTACCCGTTATTCACCAAGTAATCCAGCATGTTGAAGCTTCGAAGGTGTTACTTCCATGAAGTGCTTTGATAAGAAGAGAGATTTGGAGACATTTCAAGATGGCGATCAAATCGCAGGAGTGGATGACACAGAACAAGGTTACATAGAAGAAGCCTTTGATCAGGACTATGATCCTGAAGATTTTGATGATATCAATGACTCCAAAAGAGAAGAGCTCTTGGCAGATGCAGACAATGATGTCAATGATATGTCAGAACTCACTGTCAGATTCCAAGGAGGCGGTGAAGAGGAAGAACCTATTGTGGCCGATTTGGATCACCATCAAGAAAATATCAATAGAGGAACCGATGATATTGGGAGCCTCATTACTGATCTGGAGGACCTACAAGAACCACCAGAAGAAGAGATTGTATTTGAGCCTGAAATGCCTCAAGTAGCAAAAGTCATTCAATCTGGGCAAGCGTATGCGCAAGCTGCAATGTCTGGGCTGAACCTTTCTCAAGTTCCAAAGAAACCAAGAGAATGGCCTTCAAGCAGGAGTGGCAGTTCTGCCAATAAGAACAAGAATCGAGTTGTGACAAGAAGCAAGCATTGAGAAAGAGAATTGAAAAGTTAAAATCTGGTATTCATACCAAAGAAGGAAGTTGCAGTACTAAAGCACAGCACAATCTATGTTTCCAACAGATTGGGAATGAGATGAAAGCTGATTATGACGAGCACGATGCAATTCTGATTGCTCCTTGCATGATGCAGATCAAGGCAAAGTTCAATACTGACAAAGGTCTGAACTTCATCCAACAATGCTACATCAACCAAGGACTGCAGAAGTTTGGTGATGATGGAAAAGATGCTGTGGATAAGGAATTGAGACAAATGCTCTTGAGTGTTGGGATATGACGAAATATGAGTTTTTACGCTCCGAAAAGAAACTATTCAAGTACCAAGTTTTTGACACATACGATCGGACTTTGATCGTGATGTCGGGATTGGGCGCAAGTATGCCGGACGCAAGTCTGTTGGACAATCTACATCCACACAAAAAGGGAATGACCCTATTCAAGTGTGATATTGGTGTTGTGTACGATGCAGTAGGGAATAATACAAGATGTCCCAAAGTACTGCATTCAACACAATAATAATAATAATAATAATAACTGCATTCAACACAGAATTGTCGTAGAGGTCGAATCAAGTTCTGTAAACAAGGGATTTTCCAAGGGAAAATTGTTGAACTTACTTTTGTGCTTGAATCATCAATTCAAGCCAAACATTAATCAAATAGGAACAATTTCACTCAAAGTATACCTAGACACAGGAGAACTATTGTCGTGAAAGTGTTGTACAGTCAATTACAAATTTAGATTGCAAAGAGTTTGTTCTGAGCGCTAAAGGCACTCACGATAGAGCACATTTTGCTTTATTCTAACATTGACAGATTGTTCCACTCCCAAATTTGTTAAAGACATGACCACGTCTGAGTGAAAGAAGGCGCAATCAGCAATGATATTACTTGCAGAAAAGCAATTCGAAAAAACAATTAAAGGTTGCCTAGTATATCAAGGCAATAGAACTCATAAATGGTTATCGCAAGAGGATACTGCAAGTCCAACTGCTTTGCAAGAAGCAATCACCACTACTTGTGTCATTGATGCACACGAAGGTAAAGATATAATGGCGATGGACATATCTGATGCTTTCATTCAAACTTATATGCCTGAAGCTAAGGAAGGAGAAGATGATGGTCCAGATATTGATTGATATGACCCCAGAGTATTGCAAATACATTGTACTAGAGAACAGAAAGGGAGCGGGTACTACGTGCTGTATATGGGATGTTACAATCAAGCCTCCTATTCTATAATCAGTTTCAAAGTGATTTGGAGGCAAAGGGATTTGTTTTCAATCCGTATGACCCGTGTGATGCTAACAAAGTTGTTGATGAAAAACAGCAAACTATCAGGTTTCATGTTAACGATCTTATGTCAAGTCACATATGCCCCCCAAAAAATGACGAATTTGCTAAGTGGTCGAACATGAGATATGGTTTGATCAAGACATGCACAATTGTCAGAGGAAAGATACACAGATATCTTGGAATGACTTTGGATTTCTCGGTGAAAGGAAAACTCAAGATCCGCATGGACAACTATGTCAAGAACATGTTGGAGGATTTTCCTATCAATTTCAACAAGGATTCAAAGCAGGAAAGACCAGCTGGTAACAATTTACTGGAAGCTGGTAAAGGGAAGCTACTCAGTGCTGAGTACCATCAGATCTTCCATACAACTGTTGCAAGGGGACTTTATGTCTCTAAAGAGCGCTCATTTGGATATACATCCAATGATTACTATTCTTGCCTTGAGAGTTTGAGAACCTACAGAGTCTGATTGGAAGAAGTGTGTTTGCATGATGCAATATTTGTTTTGTACATTGCTGTATCACCTGACACTTCCTGCTGAATCACTATGAGTCATGAAACGGATGATAGATGCATCTTTTGCAGTACATCCAGATTTCAAAAGCCATCCTGGTGGCACGCTATCCTTTGGAGGAGGTGCAGCTCAAGTGATGTCAACGAAACTAAAGCTAACCAGCAGAAGCAGTATGGAAGCGGAACTGATTGCTGTTGACGATGTTGTCACAATGATACTATGGACAAAGTTGTTCATGGAGTGGCAAGGGTATCCAACCAAGAAGAATATCTTGTATCAGGATGACAAAAGCACAATTCTATTAGAAGAGAACGGATGTAAGAGCACAAGCAAAATAAGCAGAGCTGTCAATATTTGTTATTTCTTTATCACAGATCAAGTGGCAAAAGGAAATGTTAAGACCAACTACTGTCCAACCAATAATATGATTGCGGGTTTCATGACTAAGCCATTGCAAGGTGAGAAGTTTCGCAAGTTCAGGGATCTGATTCTTGGTCCACAGGAATAGGTCAGACAAGTATGTATATGTTCAGCAGAAAATACAAAACAAAATAAACAGTGAATGAAAACATGTCCCATTGCTGCCAATGGTGATTGTCACAATGGCAGGAGTGTGTTGGGATATGACAAAATATGAGTTTTTACATTCCGATGTTGTGTACAATGCAGTAGGGAATAATACAAGATGTCCCAAAGTACTGCATTCAACACAGAATCCTCGTGGAAGTCAAATCAAGTTCTGTAAACAAGGGATTTTCCAAACAATGTCAGCAATTTGACACAATTCTGTTGGGCAATCTATATCTACACAGAAAGGGAATGACCCTATAAAAGTGGAATATTGGTGTTGTGTAAAGAATAGATGAATAGACTTTTGGCCTATAGTGCAACTGCTATTTCACTAGAAGATAAAGATCAATTCAGGTAAACCATCGTGCAGTGAGAAAAGCGATGATCCATCAGTTTCTCATGCAAATCCTATTATTCATTAGAGAACTGTTTGAAAAAAGTAAAATGTGTCTCAACTGTACAACGCTTTCACAACAATAGTTCTCCTGTGTTAGGTATACTTTGAGTGAAACTGTTCCTATTTGATCAATGTGTGGCTTGAATTTTTGATGATTCAATCATAAAAGTGAGTTCAACAAATTTCCATCAGCAAAATCTCTTGTTTACAGAACTCAATCTGACTCCCATAAGGACTTTGTGTTGGATACAGTACTTTGGGACATCTTGTATCATTCCCTACTGCATTGTACACAACACCGATATTCCACTTGTATAGGGTCATTCCCTTTCCATGTGGATATAGATTGTCCGACAGACTTGCATCGAATACTGACATCACGATCAAAATTTGATCGTGCATGTGTACTTGAATAGTTTTATTAGAGCATAAAAACTCATATTTTGTCATATCCCAACATGGAGGAAACCAGCGCTTGCACTGAGGGATTGGGGGCCAACAGCTAGAAATTGGAACTCTCTTAGGCCCAATTGGAGTCTGCAAAATCCAAAGCAATTGAGAAGGAACAGAGCAATTGCTCAATCTGCCTGGTGTTCCAGTAGTGGGCTAAAGATTCAATAGCGGCACTCTGGAAAGATGCTATGCTTGGGGATAGATGGTTATATCAACTTTCAACATTGATGATCGAGGATTGTAACGTACAACATACAGTCGGCTTTCAGCAGAACCTCTCTGTGCCATGCTGCCAAGTTTACATTTTTAAAAAAGATTTCGTACTTTTCAAAAATCCATTTGTAGCTATTTTAGAATATCTATCGCTGGCTCATTCTGTAGGCACTATTCATTTGTTGTCGACGACGATCATCCATAGCTTGTTGCTGCTGCTTCAGCTGGCTAACTCGCTCACGAATGGCCATGCAATTGGGCACGGGACATGAGGACTGTTTGCACTGGCGTGCGTGAATTTGAAGGAGGGCCCAAATCCTTTTACAAACATTACATCCTCCAGTCGCTTTTTGTTTACACTGTGCACCATGTTTCAGGAGACCCTTCATTTTTTGGCAATTGGCAGATGGACATTTTGGATTCTGACATGTTGCGGCATGCAGCAGAAGCGTCATGTGCAATTGAATACTTCTTTGTCGTTCTTCTCTTTGAGCTTCTGTTAGTTCTGTTTGTTGACCAGATGCAACTGGGATTGACTTGAGAGGGTGAGGATGTCTCGGCGTGTTTGGATTTCGTACACAATCATCGCACTGATCGAAATCGGCACAAATTGGGCAATGGTAACGGTATCCTTGCAAAATCTCGCGAGAACATGTTGTGCACTGTTGTACAAACTTGGGAGCATCCCGATTGTGTAAGTGCCACAACACCATCATTGAGGAGTGCTTTGCCCTCCTCAGTTGGTCGTATTGATAATGGTTGCCCTGGCACAAGTTCAAAAACGCTTGTCGATTATTCAAGAATTCACAATCCATTTCTTCCAAATCATCATCAATCACCTTGACCCTTCTGCCCTTGCTGTCAGTTACATATACAGTCGACTTTATGTCTTCTTTCTTGTCGACTTCGCCGTTCTTTTCTTCCCCGTCTTCGAGTCCGCGCTTTCGTGCCATGGCAGCAAACTTTCCAGATCTTTCTTCCAAAGAGAGCTGTTTTGGTTTCTCAACCAAATCTACATCAGCAGCAGGCGATCCCGCAGATTTCATTTTTATCTTAGTCCCTGTGACAATCTCCTCAGCTCCTGACTGTGTCGATAAGACTGATTGGGGAGTACCTTCTTTTAGCAAAAAATCTGAAGTAGATGCAGAGGGAGCCTTGGGTGCTGTACGGGCGCTCGATGTCGCCGTGTTCGAATCAGACGATTGAAAAGCGCTTCCACTAATCGATGGGTTGCTATTTTCTTTCTTCAAGATGCGTTTGCGTTTATCAGTAACAGAGACCTCTAAAATTTCCGGTGGAGGGTCTGGCGAATCATCACTTCTGTCAAAATCTGTTTGTCCGGCGTCATGCTCTTGCTGCTTCGATTGTGACTTCGACTCAGACGACACAATTTCATCAGAAGCTGATGCTCCATTCTGATCTCGATCCGAATCAAAACCTATGTTATCAGCACCGTGCTTACTCTTAATTCCATTTTTTCCCCGGTGCTCTTGGATGGATATGGGAACTTCCATATCCTCTAGCTTCGCCCCCTCCCATGCCAGAAACGCAACAATGAAACTTTCTTTCATTGGCTGGATGGTTTCCCCAAGCTGTTGCATCACATAGTCCCGACCTCCTTCTTCTAAGCTCTTTTGATCTTTTGCTTCTCCCAAAATACCACTTGCTTTCAGTGCGTCTTCATCCAGGCCAGTAGACCTTGTACCCCCCCGACCACTCTTCTTCTTCTTATCTCCCTTCTTCTTGTGCCCATGCGAACTACCTTTCTTTCCAGCTTTTCCTTCCTCAATATTCTTAATAACATTCTCGGCCTCGGCAGGGAAGTAATCCCCGTCCATGTACGGAACTAGAGTAGCATCTTTGTCTTTGTTGGCGAAGTACAAATCGTACATATTTGTGACTTTACCAACGATACCTCGTTTCTGACATTCTACAAGCATGTCGATGTACCACTGCCGGAGCCTTTCATCTTTAGGGGTCTTCTGGTCTTCAGGTTTGGCATATAGGATATAGTCGTCGCCTTTCAATGGTGGGCAGGCCCAAATGTGGGCAGTTGCGAAACCGCGACTTCTGACATGGTCGAGGTACGATATGAGAATTTCGTGGTAGATAAAGGTTCTCATCCGGCGTGGCCTCATATAGTGCACACTGTCAAGATAAGAAACATAAACGCAACGCTTGTTTGGAGAAGGATTCGTTTCGTCATGTTCATACACGTAGAGTCCGAAAAGAATGACATCGACGCCATCCAGATTTTGAAAAACAACAATACATTTGCAACGATAGCTGAATTCTTCAGGATAGTCTTTGAAGGAATATCTGCGCTTCATTCTTTCTCTGACTTCCAATTTCTTGTCCATCGAAGTGACTTGTCGAATTGTTATTGCCCCACCCATTTGAACAGACTTCATTGCCTCGTCAGCAGAAATACCCTTGAAAAAAGCAGTGTTAGTTAAAAATATTTATATTAAAAAAAGACGAAATACTCACAGTCAACTGTGATTTTGCCTTCGCTTCCACCTCCATATGTTCATCAACCTTCTCTCGAACGTGAGCTTCAAGATGCTCCGACAGCTTGGTTCGTTGCAAATCTTCCGCCATCGGAGTCGATGATGTCCCTTCTATTTTTCCATTTTTCTTGCGATCGTCTATTGTACATCTTGGACAGAGATACTCTGACCTTTGATCTTTGTTTTGGCGAGTGTTGAAAAGGGCACATATTTGGTGCACCCATCGTTCGCATCTATCACATTGAACCCAACTCTCTTCGTGAACTTCGTCATTCTTCTTCTTGAGGAGTTGTTCTTTCCGTATTGTGACATCACCAAGCTCGATTGCCTTGCCGTCCTTCAGTTCCTGAAAACACTGATGGCACCAGTGATACTGATTGTTCCCACCAACATAGTAGTAGCTATTTCGACGAATTCTCTTCGATGGGCAGTTTAGACCATTGCAATAAAATACAGGAGGTTCGAACAACAGTTTTTCACATCCACACAACGAGCATGCATCTCCATTCCGCCTCTTTGTATCTTCTTCCGCATTGAGCTGTTTCATGAGAATTGTAAAATCGGATTCAAATTTTATTTTCATCTCTTTGGCCATGTTGTAAACAACCGACCCTTCTGGATTGTAGAGCATGGCGTTCTCGAAAGTCAAGTTGACATGTTTCTGGAAGTCATCTAGAGACTCGTAGCAATTATTTTCGAGCTTTTTCCGTATCGTACCGAGATCCATAGGCGTCTTGATTACCTCGAAATAGTCAGGCAAGCCTAGCTCAGCAGGGTCAACAGGGCTGTTGAAAACCCAGCCATGTTGGTGGCTTTGTAAAACCTTGAGAACATCTAGACATTTTGCCTTTATTTTCTGTGGTGCCAGTTGCAAACCCTTGTTTAAAGAGGAAATGTGAGTCTCAATCTGGGCTATTGTAAAGCAGTTGATCAGAGTATGGTCCTCTTGTGGCTTTGGACCAGTGTACTTTGGAGTAATCATTTGACCATTGGAGTATGCAACACCAGGTGCAAGAGATGAAAGCTTCTTGGGGACATTTGTCGGAGCAGTAGGTGCTTGGCCGATGGAATATCCTGCTTTGGGTTGCGGCAATACTCCATGATGTGAAGAAGGCGGTGCCAGAAGCCCTTGATGGGGCAAACGAGATGCAATTGTAGGTGCTGACAATGGGTTCGGTTTCGATTGTAGATACTGAGGTATAGGACCAGGAGGTGCAGTTCTTTGACGCTTCGCAATTGGTTCGCCTGGAGCTGCTGCAGGAACGACTGGTGGTATCTGCAAACTCGTTGGTTGCAACCCTGGTTGCCCTTGAGGCGCCACACTCTGATTCTGCTGGACCGCTTGTTGGTGCCTTTGTTTGAGTGCCTGCATCTGCTTTTGCTTTTCATGCGATCTATGAATCGCTTCGCGAACCGGCCCACAAACAGGACAGCGCACGTCTTTACATCGATGATAATGACTCAGAACATACCGTGACGACACGCAGTGCGGAACAAGGCATTTTTGATCCTTGCATTCCGCAATATGCTTCCAAAGCCGTTTCATTCCTGCGCAATGAGGAGTAACTGGACATCGACCATCCTCATGTTGACATTTCGCAGCATGTCGCAAAAGTAGTAAACGCTGCTGTTGGTGTCTCAACACCTGTTGCCGATCCGAGACTTGCCTAGGTGCGGGCCTTGACCTGGTTGCTGGAGGAGGAGCCGAAGGTATTGGTGTTTGGCTCCCTGTTTGGTATGCAATTGGCCCATGTTTCACGAGTGGAACACGAGGAGCTGAAGACCCCTCGACAACTTGGTTTCCAGAGTTCATAATGGGGTTAATCTCAGAAAAATTCACAAGCCTTTGCCCTCCTTGCTTTTGAACCGGTGGAGGTTGTTGCATTGGCAAGGAGGTCGATGACCTTGGTTGGACTGGTTGCTGATGGTGTGGGGCCGTTGGTTGTTGAACTATAGGCTGCGACCGAGATTGATGTTGGGGAGGAGGACGATACTGGGCTTTATTCTGAGCTGCTAGATGAGCTTGCTTCTGTTTTTGTTTTGCCGCAATTTGTTGCATCCTCTTTGTCTTCATTCCTATATTGTGTGCCAGTTGCTGAAGTCTTTGCTTAAGTGTGGACCCGTCATTATATTCCGCAAAAGATTTGGCAGATCTGTACAGAGACTCTTCCAAACGCTTCGCCATCTGTGGTAATTTCTTTAGCCAATCGGATGGCGCATTTGGTTTACGCTGTTTCAGCAATTGGACGCTGTTAAGATGTTAGTAGTCTTGCGATGAGACAAAGTTTCTAATCAATTCCTATCGAGTGCTGAACGACTTACATGTTGGCAATCATTTTCCGCCTCTCATTGTAATCTTGATCTGATTGCCAGCCCCCGTTCAATCCCTGGTGCGGATTCTGTTGCTCTGGTGGCTGAGAAGTCGGAACATGTTGACGAGTAGCTTGTTCCGGCATAGCGACAGGAGGGTGTTGCGACTGTTGACTGTAAAGTTGTGGTTGCTTCGGCTGTTGCTGCTGCTGTGCAGGTGCGTATTGTGTGTGATGAACAGTTGTAGCTGTAGGAACCGGTGCTGGTAGCATTTGCGGTGGCTGTAGAATTGCAGAGGAAGATGACTTTGTTGCTAATTGAGTTGTTCGTGGTGCTGGAGCTTGTGGTGCTGGTACTTGTGGTGCCGTTTGTGATGTTTGCATTCTACTCCTAATCCCCACGAACCTTTGGCTGAACTTCTTTCTCCACCTTTTTGGACAAATTGAACATGTAACGCTTGCAAATGCAAAGACTTCAGTGCCACCTTGATTAAACTACTTTTTCCCCTCACAATGTAGTGTCACTCCACTTGACATGTAAAAAAATCAAACAAAAGCATTAGTGTCCAGTAGATGAACAACAAAAGAACGCTCCGGTAAGCTCAGATTTCATGCATCACACAACAAGATCCCTTTTGTCAAATACTGCTGGTACAGTTTGGAAAGATGCTTGACAGATGTTGGCATCATACTTCCATCACACAACAAGATCCCTTTTGTCAAATACTGCTGGTACAGTTTGGAAAGATGCTTGACAGATGTTGGCATCATACTTCCAACGTTGATGATTTTACAACCACAAATACGGATGAAGTTCAGACTTTCCTGTAGACAGTAGACAGCCAGTAGGAATGTACGCCTGCATGATGCCATCACAACAAACTCGATGTGACAGCTTATGATGAGAGCCCACCCGAACAGTCTCTTCTTCCCACGCATTGCATCACTATTCAGACTCATCGTTCCTGTTGCAGCCTCCTGGAGACTCGATAAAGCTTACTCACATGGTGTTCAAATCGTGCTGATGGTGACGACAAAAGCGACAAGGGTTCGGTTGCTTGATTTTCGTCCGTGTTTGGATACTGTGTGGAAGCGCGTAAGGATCGTACGGGAGCACGCGTGTAAAAAATGGAAAAGGGTAGAATTCATTGTCAACTAAAAACTGTTCTTGCATTTCGGTGTCGCAGTCAATAATTCGTTGATGTGAAACTATGTCTGAAAGAAACGAATCATCTAAACGGTTACAGCACCACATACACTAAAGCACCGCACAGTGTTGGTACTGAACAGTAGAGGTTCAGAAGGTATTGTAGTGGCGACTGATTTCACATACCATTGCATTGGCTGTTGGACAGAGTGCAGTGGCAATACGACACGTTGCATGCTACCAGCTACCAATCGTCTTCTTCCTCCTCTTCTTCATTACATTCTCCAAGATCGACAATGATTCCAAGCGAACTTCGTTTAAATCCACTCTTTTGGTATCCTTTGTTCATCGTAACATTGTTCATCTCGGAATACGTCATTTCAAACTCTTCAACCATGGAAGTTTCCTTGGATCCTACGACCACCATAAAATCAATAACTTCGTGTAGTGGTTTCTGTATAGACTCTGCGTAGTTTGCCATTGCATACGCGAATTCCTCTTTGTCAAGCGATTGGTTGCTATCCTTGTCATGCCCCATGATCATCAGAGCATCCTTTTCAGCTTCGACGATGTTTCCTGACACATGGGATGCTTTCAAGTACTTTCGGATCCCACGAAGAAGTTCTTGGAAATCGATACTTCCATCTCCATTGGCGTCCCAGAGATCGAACAACTTTTGGGTGCGGCTATACGAGAGAGCATCCATGGTCTTCTTTCGCTCGTTCTTCGCTGCTTGAGCCTGCTGAATTTTCTCCAAGTTTTCTTCCACCATGATGATTTCGTTCATGACTTCTTCGGACAGCTCCGATTCATCGGTAAGCGCCAAGGTCAATTGATCGGCCAGTTCATCAAAAGTGAGGTTGGAGGCTGCCGCCACAGACATGATCAGTCTGGCAAAGGTTTCATAGGTTAATACACGTTCATCATTTTCATCCATCATTAGTAAGAGGGCCGCCGCGTTCTTGGCAGAATCTTCCATGTTATTGGAAAGTTTGTACAGACCAATGGCTACTTCCTTAAAGTCAACAGTACTGTCAGCGTCCTTGTCAAACATGACAAATAAAGCCATCATGCGAGGATCATTCAGTATGTTCTTCTTTTTTCCCGCCATGGTTGATGGTGCCACCCCTCCATCCTTTTCTGTTTCCGAATTGTCTGTTGCAATATTTGCAACAAACTTCACTTGATATACAACAAATTCAGAAAAGTCACTGACAGTCGCATTCATGGCTGTCACAAGCTGATGACAGTAGGCTTGAAACTCATCTCGCTTAAGCTTTGAAGTGGCTAAATTTGCGTCAGACCCCGACGATGGAGCTTTGACAGTCTCCAATGCCAATTTCACTCCATCGGCAAAGGTCAAGTTCGACGATGCGGTCTTTAGATCGTCCTGGAACTTGTCTAGCGCAATGGCTTCAGACGACCCGGAATCCTCCAGTATCAAATTAAAAAGAAAGTCGAGCTTTGCGTTTGCAGTCATTTGCTCAAGCTCCTTGACAAGATCCAGTTTTGATTGAAGAGTCCTCATTTGAAGTTCGAGATTCCATTTCGTTTGAGTCACAAATGATGATATGTCCTTGGAAAACTTTGCCTTCGTTGAGCGCGAATTGGCTGCTTCCAAGGTTGCCATACTGGTGTTGGCAGCATGACTAGCCTTGCTACTGGCGGTTTGAACACGTCGGGCAATTTCTAATCCTCGTTGCAACGATTTGTCGTCGGGACAGTTGTTTAATCCTGTTTCGTAAGCTTGGATCTCCATTTCACTTTCTTTCATCGCGCTGTAGACACAAGCCTTTCGGAAATGACCCCTAGCGTATTCCGGATTCAATGCCGTAGAGGCGTTGGCATCATCCAAGGCCTTTTCAAGATTATTCAGTTTTTGATAAGCAGAACTTCGTAGTGCCAAGCAAGGTGCATCTGACGGTTCTTGGGTCAAAGAGGCAGAAAAGTGATGAATCGCATCTTCCCACTTTTCAGCTTTGTAAGCGACGCGACCCTTTTCTTTGGCCTTTACAAAAGTGGTGATTTTAGTTATTGAAAAAGGATTGTGAATACACACATTAGATGGTGAGCAATATGAAAGTAGCGTTACTAGGAACATCTGTTGGAAAAAAATGATCGAGACAGGCGCAACTTATTGTGATCGAATTGTTACGATTTCGAAGGGGCTAATGCCGTCTTCATTCATCCGATGAGCAGAATACAAAAATCTCAAAAAATACGAACTCACCTCTTTTGCACTCATGATAGTTGTTCGACTGGACGTGTTGGAAGTAATAGTATCAGTTACTACCAGTTACAGGTACACGGAACTACTGCGCCTGTGTGCTGGAGCAACAATGATGATTGAGTTACTGGGACATCCCGAAAACATCTGTAGATTTCATTTTTATTCGACCAAATCACCCCCTGCCGCAGGAAGATATGTATTTCCCTTGGCGGTCCGCTCGATACCGGGAATAGGCCTAAAGGTTTCACTTGGCGGTTCGCTCGTCGATGGAACAGGCCTAAAGGAATAGAAATAGACCTCTAATAGAAAAATTCAATTTGTTTATTGATTTTTCTCTTATTAAATGTCAAAAATATCTTGTTCTGAAAAGCGGTCCCGCGGTTTTGATTGAGAGGTTTTATTCAATCCATATTTTGATCGCGAGCCAAAGTTGTCAATAAACAGGCGCGGTTGCCCCTGCAGAGGTCCCATCAATCACACGGTTGCGCTTGAAGAGGTCCCACCCCCTGCACCTGGACCCCCGACACTCTGCGTCTGCTCGTCATCCGTCTCTCTGGGGGATATTTTTAATTCTTGTTCCCCCATAATCTTTTTGTCCAGTTCAGGGGAACCCTGGTTCTACTTTGGGGTCGAATCGAAAATATACAACCGGAGTCGAAAGTAGGCAAAGTTGATCCGAAAGTAGGCAAAGGAAATTTGAAACTATACAAGGTGATCTGAAAATAGGCAAAATAAATAACGAAATTTGAAAATATACAATCTGTCTTCGAAAGTAGGCAAAATAAATATCGAAATTTGAAACTATACAATCTGTTGTCGAAAGTAGGCAAAATAAATATCAAAAATTGAAACTATACAATCTGCATTGAAAGTAGGCAAAATAAATTTCGGTCTAGGCAAATCACTGACGAGGCAAACGATATTTTACCTTCAGCTTAAAATCCAACTGCAAAGCATCCACTGTTGGGATATGACGAAATATGAGTTTTTACGTTCCAAAAAGAAACTATTCAAGTACAAAGTTTTTGACACGTACGATCGGACTTTGATCGTTATGTCGGGATTCGCCGCAAGTATGCCGGACGCAAGTCTGTCGGACAAACTACATCCACACAAAAAGGGAATGACCCTATACAAGTGTGATATCGATGTTGTGTACAATGCAGTAGGGAATAATACAATATGTCCCAAAGTACTGTATCCAACACAGAATCGTCGTAGAGGTCGAATCAAGTTCTGTAAACAAGGGATTTTCCAAGGGAAAATCGTTGAACTTACTTTTGTGATTGAATCATCAATTCAAGCCAAACATTAATCAAATAGGAACAATTTCACTCAAAGTATACCTAGACACAGGAGAACTATTGTCGTGAAAGTGTTGTACAGTCGATTACGAATTTAGATTGCAGAGAGTTTGTTCTGAGCGCTAAAGGCACTCACGATAGAGCACATTTTGCTTTATTCTAACA